TTGTCTTTTTTGCTTAAAATTTTGAGCTTATTCATGATTTATGGAAATATAGGTACTTGGCTGAGGCCATGTTCAAGCAATGCAATTCGATAAAGCTGAAGAATTGTGCAAGAAAACTCTTGAAATTCATCACGCACACAGTGAACCGGCATCACTTGAAGAGGCAGCTGACCGCAGGTTGATGGCACTTGTATGCGAGGCTAAGGGAGATTACGAAGTGGCCCTTGAGCTCCTTGTCCTAGCCAGCATGGCAATGATTGCCAATGGGCAGGAGTATGAAGTAGCTGCTATTGATGTCAACATTGGCAATATTTACATGTCTTTATGTCGCTTTGATGAGGCCGTCTTCTCCTACCAAAAGGCACTGACTGTGTTCAAATCATCAAAGGGTGACAACCACCCTCAAGTTGGCTCTGTCTTTGTGCAACTTGCGGATCTATACCACAGGACTGGAAAGCTCCGAGAGTCGAAATCCTATTGTGAAAATGCCCTGAGGATCTTTGCAAAACCTGCACCTGGAATCACAGCAGAAGAGAGCTGGTGGATTAACTGAAATTTCGGCCATATATGAATCCGTCGATGAGCCTGAGGAGGCATTGAAGCTCTTGCAGAAAGCAATGAAGTTGGAAGACAAACCCGGACAGCAAAGCACAATTGCAGGAATCGAAGCATGGATGGGGGTGATGCTTTACATTCTTGGGAGGTATGAAGAAGCAAGGAAGTCTTTTGAGAGTGCAGTAGCGAAGCTTAGAGCCAGTGGGGAGAGGAAGTCAGCCTTCTTTGGAGTCGTGTTGAATCAAATGGGCTTGGCTTGTGTTCAGTTATTCAAGATAGATGAGGCTGGTGAGTTGTTTTAAAGAAGCAAGGGCAATTTTCGAGAAGGAATGTGGCTCATGTCATCAAGATACTCTGGGAGTATATAGCAATCTTGCAGCAACTTATGATGCTATGGGAAGGTAACTAATATTTTAAACCACCATGCATCAAATCCCATTCATAGCTTATGATCCATTTTAGTTCTATCATATGTTGTTAAATATTTATAGCATTCTGCCGAGATGCAAGTAGGATGAGTTTGATATGCATTTAGGGTACTGTACATTTTATACTGTTTAAATCAAGAATTCAATTACTCATCTTCTGATATAAAAATCAGGGTTGAAGATGCAATTGAGATATTGGGGTATGTACTCAAATTACGAGAAAAACTCGGAATTGCAAATCCAGATTTCGAAGATGAGAAGAGTAGGCTGGCTGAGCTCTTGAAAGAAGCAGGTAAAATCACTGGAAAATATCATAGATCCGAACTCAAGGAGGACGGCGAAGAGAGAGGGGACGAAAAAATGGGGTTTCAGAATTTGAAGGCATTATTTTCCAGGTCATATGTAATCCGTTTTTCGAACATATATTTACTTTTCTGTATCATGGAAGATCATGTATAGTGTTATTAGTTGTAATTCTCGAGTTTTCCTGCTTTTGGAGCTTCAAGATCTCATATTTTTTTGACCTTTTTACTTTTGTTATTTGTGTTATTGAATGACTATTGAAATTTGAAATGAAGAATGTTCATTTGAGTGAATAAATTTTAGGGTATATTACACGTTTAGTATCTAAATTATTACTTTTATTCTATTTTAGTATTTCGCCGTTAAAATTTTAATGTTACAACGTGATATTTTTTATGGGTAAATTACATCATTCATCACTTATCTATCTTTTCGTTCCTATTTTTATTACTGAAGTTTATTTATTTTAATTTAATTACTTAACTTTCATATAACTCCTTGTGTAGCTTGGGTGGGCTGTCTATGGTTGAGGGTGAGATGGATGATGTATTTTAAGCTCATTGGATTTGTTCCTTTATCGTGTTGGTAATTTGCAATGTATTTTAATGAGGTTCATTTTATGTCTCGTTTTATATTCGAACATTTTATTGAATACAAACAACCCCTTCAAAAAAAAACTTTCATATAACTCCTAATTTGATTATTTTAACTTTCAAATTTATTGTTTTAATTATATATTAATAAGATAATAATATAAATGTCCTATCATAAAATTATTAATAAAATAAATTAAAATATTAATACATGAACTATTTGAAAGTTGAATAGTTAAATTAAAAATTTTTAAACTTTAGTAACTAATATAGGAGAGGAGTTTGAGTACTATTTTTAACTAGACCAAAACCCTTTTACCAAGCCCAAATCAATTAAAACTCAATCCTTCTAAATACAAACCAAACAGCCCCAAACACAAACAGACCCGACCCGGAGCCCAAAAAAGCAACCGGACCCGTAACCCGGATCCTGAGTCTAACTTAGCCCTAGCTGCCCACTTCACCAATCAGCTCCTGCCAATCCTCTGCCCTAATCTCAGTCAAGCTGCTGCTCCACGCCAAGCTACACTCCTGCAACAAACAACAATGAAGCAACAAACAACAATGAAGCAACAAAACAACATCATTTCATTTTCTGTAAAAATGGGTATAAAACCCAAATGATAAACACTGTAAAAAGCTCATTGGATTCGAAAAAAAGAGCTCTGTAATCCCGTTTTTCGAAGCAAATAAACAACATTTCCAGGTATTTTTTTTCTTTTCGAGTAGCTTCTGTTTGCCTTTACTGCTTAGTTTTATTTAGTTTTCGGAAAAAACAATATTTAGTTTCGTTAAAAAAAGGGTGATAATGGTTTTCGAAACAAAAAAATCTAGTATTTTTAATCTAGCTATTTTGCAGTCAAAAATACGAAAAAAATAAAAGGTTGGTAGATCGGGGCTTACCTTGGTCGTTGGAGGAGTCACCGGAGCCCGGAAAGCCGAACGGTCTCGACCGTTTACACAACGATAGAAGTCGTTTAGTGCGAAATCGAGCTTAGATCCGAGACGAGGAGCCTGAGAGAGTTCACCCATGAATTTTGGTGGCCAACAACCACAGAAGGTGGTGGCTTTCTCCTCTCTACTTTTTTTTTTAAAAAAATGAAAAAAAATGAAAATTATAAAAAGAAAAAAAGTTTCCTTTTATAGAAACATTTCGAGGGGAATTTCTTTCAAATCCCCCGACTTTTACCATGTTCTTGCAAAGTGGCCACTGGCACCGTTTTCATAATTGTATCCATTTCCATGCGTTCTTTTGTGTTTTTTGGTATATTCACGTTTTATTCTCTATAACTTTAGCGTATTTTTATATTTTGATCATATGTAGTGATCTTTTAAATTTTATTTTAATTTGTCTGGATTAATTTTGTAATTTCCCATTACATTTATTTATTTATTTTATGCATAATAACGACTCTAAATATATATTTCTATTTCTAATAAGTATTTCTCTTTTTTAATAGCATTCATATATATCATTGTATGCACATTTCCTTTTATATAATTAATTTTTTTAAATTATTTCCATAGTTTAGTTTGATTTATATTAATTGTTTATATCTTATTTCTTTTCCCAAATGTATTACAATAGATGTAAAGTTGGCATATTTTTAATAAGTTATTTCCTTTAATTTTAATGTTTGTCTCCCTTAATTTAGTTTACTTTTTTAATATGTTTCATACTTTTGTCCTTTATCTGTTCCATTTCTTATTTCATTTTTCCTAGCATTCAATTGGTATTCCGATCATTCATTTATTTCTATAATTATTTATTTATTCGGTTTTTTTTTTGTATTTGTTTGTTACATATTCCTTTATTTTTAAAAAAGGTTCATGTTCGAGTTGGTTTAATTCCTTTTAATTCCTACACATGTTTAGGTTTTTTAATTTAGTCTTGGATTTAGTTAACTTGAATTAGATTGAACCTTAGGTTTAGATTTCTCACATTTTAATCCTTTAATTTAGGGAATAATTCGATTTGACTCTCGCATTTAGATGCTCGAGGTTTCATTTCGATTATTCGATTCAATGATTAGTAAGGTTAATTAGGGATAGTAATTAGAGCCTTAATCTTGGCTTCTCACATTCTAGTCCCTAAACTTTTAACTAGATTATCCTTTTGACATAATTAATTAAGATTAATATTAGAGTCTCCATCTTGGGCTTGATTTCACATTTAGTCCTTTAATTAGGTGAATTCTTAATTTGGTCTTCGCTTTTGCTAGAGGTTCCAATTTAATTATTCGAAATAATATTTATTAAAATTAATTTAAGTTAATGTTAGAACCTCTACTTTAGGTTAGATTTCACTCTAGTCCTTTTAATTTAGGGAATAATTCGAGTTGGCCCTCGCCTAAATGCTCGAGGGACCATCTCGGTTATTCGATTCAATAATTGATTTAAAAGTCAAATAGGGTTAATATTAGAACCTACACTTCTAGGTTTTGTGCCTTTGGGTTCTTTAACTTTCATAATTCGACACCTTAAGCTAGAAAAAACCTATAATTTACCTTAGCTTAATTAGGATTCATAAAAAATTGTTTGATTGCATTTTATTTTTAAACCTAAGGTAATGTTCACTTATTAGGGAATTAATGGTATATCTCCCGCAAGTATGCTCAGGGGTGACCACTGGTGATTCCCGAAATAGGTCGACATCCTTTTCAAAGACCGCATCATGATTTCAAAATCGAGTCAATATTCGGTTATTGAGTACAATAGTTGATCTCCCGCGTTTATGTTAGGAGGCGAAGGCTATCGGCTTTAATAAACGAATACCCTTTTAACTTTGCATCCATAATGATTTTCAAATTAAATAAAGATCGAACTCAAAATTTTCGATTTTAAATATAAGATAATCAACTAGATACCAATTTTTTGGCGCTTGTGGGGGTGCTAATCCTTCCCCACATGTAACTGACTCCCGAACCTGATTTTTGGATTTTCGCAGATCTTAAAACTTGATATTTTTATAAAAACAAAATGTTTTATTAAAATCACCTGGTTTCTTTGGTGTCCCAATCCCACCTTAAATGATTGGTGGTGACTCCTCACATTTCAAAAATCTTTTCAAAGAGAAAACTCTCGAGTCAATATCGGTCTTCCCCTGCCCAGGCGAACCCCAACAATTGGAACAATACAAAAGGAAACTCACTGTTTGGCACGTTTAGTATTGCTGTCGCATGCAGGAGATTTATTGTGAGAATTATCGTTCTTCTCAGAAGAAGCTTTTGCACCAAGAGAAGCAGGTTCAGAAGAATCTTGTTTTTCACTTGCAGTTGATGGAGCAACCTCTACTTCTTGTGGTGCACATGATGATCCTAAACTCTGAAGAATGGTGTTTTCTCTAAGAGACGGAAGTCTGCTCAGATGAGACACAACACTCAAAGACGAATCCCATGCCCTATTCTTTTGCTTTACCAAGTTCACATCAGTATAGAAAGAGGAAAACCGAGCATCTTGAGATGCCCAAGATGGTGCAGTAATCATGCTTTTGTATCTATAGTCATCTTGTGCCACATAATCCACATTAGGAGCACTAGATGGATCGATATATGCAAAAGAGTCACTTGAAGAACGTCGATGACTTCCTTTGTGCACAGGAGTCTCTGGCTCATTAAGGAGATCATCGAGCCAAGAAGGCTGTTCCTCTATCCGGAAGCTTTCAGAGGAAGTGCGCTGATGATGTTTATTTCCCTCCCTACGCTTTTGAACTGCTCTTGACCCATTTACATTGTTGGGGACATAATCAGTATATGTGGGGGAGACCGGTGGAAATGGAATTTTTGGAGGAAGTAAAGCATGCTTTCCAGAAAACATAAAATTTCTTATATTTGTTGGACCCTTGGAATTTGCCATGGCTAAGAACAACCTTTTTCCTGCAAAGAGCGTGGGATCATGAAACAACTAGTTATGAAAAGAACGAAGGCAAACATGAAGACCCCAGTGAAATTTTTCACAAAGCAAGAGACAATAATATCTCCATTCAGCAGAGGAAATCAGAAAATGATGCATCACTACTACTGTTATATAGGATATAATGATCCAAACATATAAGCAGCCATGTCTGGTAGACAGCATAAGCATAGACGGTAAACTGCACATAAAAGGACACTATGAATAGTCTTAGTAAACCCCAAGTGAAAATTGTTCACTATTGTCAGAGTACTGTAGCAAATACCAATTTACAGAAAAGGGTACTTTTACCAGGAAGCAAAGGAATAATCCCTTAATTTGCATGGCCAAACAACCTTTGAACATTTCACAACATCAAATTAGAAAACAAAGTAAAAGAAGAAATATCACCCCAACTGCATATTAACAAATTCACCAAGATAGCAAGTCTATACGGGAAACAGATCAAGAACAATCCTCAAAACCCTCTAAAAACTCAGTCGTAGCCTTGAATGACAGTCTTCAATTGATTCTACAAAACTCGAAAATGCAAAGCAAAATCTCACAAATGAACTTAGAACAACGGTTCCGGCACTATCTACAGCTTCTTTTTCAAATCCTACAATAACTTGTGCTCTAAATACTCGATAATAAATGAATAAAAATCACGTAAGCTAAGCAAAGCTATAGAATACTGAAGATTCATATACTGAAAGAACTTTGAAGTCTCTTTACTTTCCATGTTTCCTCGACAACGGATTCGCTTTCGAAGTTAAAATAAATAAAAACAAACACAAATAAAACATTATTTTATGCTAAATTTGTGCAATACAAAAATACAAACAAAATAATTACAACAACAAAACGAAAAGCTTACCTTTCCTGAAACTGAAGAATTCAGATTTGAAATCTAATGTTTCTGAATCGATAGCTAACTATTAATTAGGGTTTTTTTGTAGTTCTTTTCTTTTTAATGAAGGCTTCCTCCGTCCTTTTATTTATATTTTTCCCTCTCTCTGCATTGGAGTCTGTAAGTGGGGAATCAGGGACTGGAATTAACAAAATAAAATCTGGAAAAAAATTACTTTTTAACCCTTTCAAAATACAAATATTATGTACTAACCCTCGCTACTACTTTCGGTTTAAAATGTTTAGAGCTAATAACATCATACGTCCTCAAACTATGGACTCATTCTAAATTGATCCCTAAAGTTTTGAATATTCTAATTCTATTCCTGTAACCTCTATGAATAATAACAATTTCTTTTAATCACTAAGGTAAGTTGATTCATGCAGTTTTTTAATTATTAGAAGTTATAAAATGATTCATTGAACATAGGTCAGAGACGAAGCTTTGTTGGGGCCCAAAGAGGTCTTGACCCTTGTAAAATTTTTATATATTCGATAAATTTTGGTTTAATATTATTCTGGTTCATGTAAATTATAAGTATTCAAATTGAAAAATACAAGAATTTATTAAATATTTAATTAAGTAGGGGGCAAACTAAATAAGGATAATCTCATGTTCTCAATTTTTTTTGGTTTAATAACAATTTAGGTCATTGTAAGTTTAAATATTAGACAAATAGACATTGTCTTCTAAATTTTGAGTTTAAATACCTAATAAGTCGCTGTATTTTTCTTAAAAAGTATAATATTTCGGCCTCTGCCAATATTTAATCCTGGCTCTGCCCCTGAATAGGGAGTTATTTTTTTTAGTCCCATACTATTAAAAGTTACAAAATGGTTACCCGACTATTCATATGTTTCAAACTTGTCCTTTTCCATTAAAAAAATTATGACAGACTGAGTTGAACAATTGAATAATTGAATGATCATTTTGTAACTTTTAATAGTCGATGGACTCAGTGTCTTTCTCCCAGATCTATCTATCTTACAGATTCTCATTAGACCAGAATTCAGGAACTTGTCAAAGTTTTGGATCTGTTTGCTCTTGGTTAGTGATTAAAAACAGGATTTGGTGTGGGGTTATATTGCGAGATAAATTGTTATTCTTACAGGTATTATTTAAAAGCTAAACTAGAAAAGCGATTATCGCTTCGTCCTCCCGAAACGACTTCTTCAGGTGCTTCCATTTCCATATGTTTTCTCTTGAGTTTCTTGGATCTGAATTTCGTTCTCAAATTTTTAGATTTCGTTTCCGATCCCCTTTAAAATTTGGGAAAATTTTTGGGTTTTTAGGGTTCTTAATTATAAGTTAATTTTTTTAAGATTCTGGTATTTTGCATGTTGTTAATTCGTTTGGTAGAGCTAGCATTTTGGAATTTTTTGATTGTTTAGTGATAAATATTTGATTAGAATAACTGGGGATTTCTTCTTGGTTCTGGATCTGGGATCGTATTGGTAATAGCTGCTAGAAAGTTTAAGTATTGTTCAGCCTTTCTTTTTATATATATATCCCAACAATTTTAGTTGTTTTTTCCCCTTACTATTTTGTTAACGTGTGATAGTAAACTCGGGTTCTTGGTTTTGAATAATAGGATTCTATGTTATTCTAGTGAGATCTGCCTGTTAGAGTTAGCATTTGATTGATTTCTTTTGGCTTATATTTTTAGTCTGATTATGGTAGCTATAAATATATTATTAAATCTAATCTGTTGATTTTTTAAAAGTATTAGATCTTGGGTGTTAAATAAGTTAAATCTGTTTGACATGTTCGGATTTGGACACAAAGATAAAAATAACCTATGTATCTAAATTTTACATATTTAAGTAAGATATAAATCCAATCATTGGTTTCTAGCTGTTGGCCTAAGTTAAGTAAGATAGTGTTAATTTGTCTTAAAATCCTATTAAGTAACCAACTATGCTTCTTAGTACCCCTTAATTCTCTAGCGTTTTATTGGTGCATCTTCTGTCTTCTTTGGATTCCTTTTCATAGTTCCTCATAGCTTCGGCTACAGATGATTACTTGAGGTTATGTCCTTCTTCTAGATCCCATAGGGCGTATAGGGGGAGGGCTCGACAGAGTGGTGTCAAGGAGACTAGACTTAGAGTTTGTTCGTTGAATATAGGCACATTAAATGCTAGGTTGTTGGAGCTGACCGACGTACTTAGTAATAGGAAAATAGATTTTGCATATATTCAGGAGACTAGGTGGAAAGGTGCATGCGCCAGAGAGTGTAATGGGTACAAGTTGTGGTATTCAGGTATAGATAACGCTAGAAATGGGGTGGGTATCTTGGTATCCTCTAGGCTCAAAGAAAATGTAGTTGAAGTTTGTAGATACCGGGATAGGATCATGATGATTAAGGTTATTATAGAAGCGGAAGTGGTGAATGTCCTTTCAGTGTACGCCCCACACGTTGGCCTAGGGGAGGGGGATAAACGTTGCTTCTAGGATCAGTTAGATGACGTACTTAGGAGCATTCCGGAGGACCAAAGAGTTTTCATAGGGGGAGACTTCAATGACCATATAGGTAGCGCATCCGACGGGTATGACGATGTTTATGGGGGTTTTGGTTTTGGTAGTAGGAACGAGGAGGGGCGTAAGTTGCTTGATTTTGCTACTGCACATGATATGGTGGTCACAAACTCCTTCTTTAACAAGAGAGATATGAACTTGATCTTGTTCCATAGCGGGGGACATTGTACCCAAATCAACTACATCCTGGTTCGAAATCGGGATCGATGGGCTTGCATTGACTATAAGGTATTCCCTGAAGAGGCATGTGCATCACAACACAGATTGTTGGTTTTAGTGTTCCGCGTACACCACGGGCAGAGTACTCATAGGAGGGCTAAACTTGGTAAACCTAGGATCCTTTGGAAGAACTTACATGGAGAGACAGCTGATGACTTTAGGAGTAAGGTTTTATCTAATACAGGTTTTGGAACTACAAACTCAAATAATGTAGATATGTTATAGAAAAATATGGCAAATTCCATCAAAGATGTGGGCAAAAACACCCTTGGGTTGTCAACAGGGAAGGTAAAGGAACATAAAGAATCATGGTGGTGGAACGAAGAAGTCCAAACTAAAGTGAAGATAAAGCAAACTTGCTTCAAGGAGTTTCTACAATGCAATGACGACGACGAAAGATCGAGAGCTAAACAAAGATACAATGAGACAAAGTAGGAAGCCAAGAAAATGGTGGCTAAAGCAAAGGATAAGGCATACGAAGAAATGTACAAGAAATTAGACACCAAGAAAGGACAAAGCGGCATCTTCAGGCTTGCAAAATCCAGAGAGAATAGGAAAAATGATCTAGGTAGCATTAGGTTTGTAAAGGATAACAATAGTGATCTTTTAGTGAAAGATCATGATATTAAGAGGGTTTGGGGTAGTTACTTCTTTGGATTATTTAATGACGGTGTCTCTCCCTGTACAGATAGTACTGTTGATGGGTCATCCAATCATCTTACTGCGGCCAATGACTGTCCTACAAGTAGGATTGGATTTGAGGAAGTCAAAATGGCTCTTAGAAAGATGAGGAGGGACAAAGCTGTCGGTCCAGATCAAATTCCTATCACTGTGTGGTTGGCCCTAGGAGAAGAGGGAGTTAAGTGGTTAACCAACATCTTTAATATTATTTTAGAGACTGCCACGATGCCAGAGGAATGGAGAGAGTCTACGGTGATATCAATCTATAAGAATAAAGGAGATCCCCAACGTTGTGGTAACTACAGAGGTATTAAAATACTCAACCATACCATGAAACTATAGGAAAGGGTGATAGAGGCTAGGTTGAGACAAGTTACTAGGGTTTCGGAAAACTAATTTGGCTTTATGCCAGGCAGGTCTACTATGGAGGCGATTCATCTACTGCGACGACTTATGGAGAAATATAGGGAAAAAATAGAGATCTTCACATGGCGTTCATTGACCTTGAAAAGGCGTATGATAGCGTTCCCCGAGATACGATCTGGAAGACATTGAAAACGAGACGGATCCCAACTGCTTATATCCGGGCGATTCGTCAAGACTACAATTGGCGAAATCGTAAAACTGTTTTTTGAAAAGAAAAACATTTAGAAAATTTTAATGATATTTGTTAAAAAAAATATTAGGATAAACTACATATTTGATCATTCTAACTTTCATAAATGATATTTTGCCCATCAATTTTAGTCACTCACATTTGAAATGATAATGGAGCCATTAGACATTGTTATCATTTTGCCACTCACGTTAGACATTAATGTCATTTTAGCCACCCACGTTAGACTTCAATGTCAATTTAATCACTCATGTTAAATTAATAATGAAGCCATTAGACATTGTTATCATTTTAGTCACCCATGTTAGACTTTAATGTCATTTTAGTCACTCACATCAAACTTTGTTGTCATTTTAATCATTCATGTTGAATTGGTATAACAAGAGTTTTATGTGGATTTTTACTCTAATGAATGATTAAAATATTTAATCCACCTAATGACATAATTTTTTATGTTATTAGAAATTTTAAACCAATTAACCAATTTTTGTCTTTCAATCCATTTTTTGATTTTAAAGAGACTTTTCACGATAAATACATAGTCTAATGACTATGTCAACTGAGCTCCCAAATGATCACTAAATTTTTAAGACATTATTATTTAGACACCAAATATAATTATTTTCAAGATAATAATTTTTTATTTTTATTTTTTATAATAATATATATTTACACAAGAATTATTATAAATTAGCGTACCCTATTCTCATATGTAATGGGGTGAGAGGGAGGTAGGGTAGTAGGCTGCCTCCAACGCCAGGTTGAGGCAGCTTCCGTGAAAGACCTCCGGCAGTCAGAATTATGAAATGTCCACCGTGAGACTCGATCCCACGACCACAAGGTTAAGAGCCTTGCGCTCTACCAACTGAGGTGGACGAGCAATTTTTACAAAATTTATTATGATGCTTCTATACCCTCGGAGTGGTCCCAGTAGTTGAGTGAATTTGGTTTTTCTTTGATAACTCGAGTTCAAATTGTATAGTCTGTAAGTATATGCGAGTTTAAGACAATAAAATGAACAGAGATAATTGTG